AATAAATTCCTAATAAATCTTCAATAAATACTAAACAAATACGTAATAGGCATTTTAAAATTAAAATTCAATTATATTTTACTATCTTCTTACTATATTATGAAAATTGTTAATATAATCAATAAATTTTGAATAAATACCCAATGAGCCTTTAAAATATTTAATGAATGCTTTTAAACTCTTCAATAAATCCCTCTAAAATACTCATAAACTCTTAAATAAATACTCAATAGACTTCTCTTAAAAAAATATGAACCTATAACAATTGTAGCTTACTATGAATAAAAAAAAAATGTATTCGTACTTCAGCATTATAATCATTATAATAGAACACAATATTAATTATCATCATTATAATATAATAATAATTTTTTTTTTTGATAAGCAAAATAAAGGAAATTTGATTATATAGAGTACAAGGGGTACTCCAACCCAAATACAAGCAATGACAATAGTCTAACTAAAACAAAGTATTCCCAAAAAAACACCTGTAATCCAACACATTCCAGTCCCTCTACTCATCATGCCTTCCGTTTTAGTTACCATCATAATAATTAGCTAGTATAACAATAGCAATTTTTTAGAGCTTATTTCAACATTACCATCATAATACAACTCTACTTCAACTACTTCAATTATATTTCACTTTGAACTCAATCACATTTTTAATAATAATCTTTATATATGCATCTTTAATAATATATTTTATCTTACTATATTATAAAAATGGTTAGAATTTTCAATAAATCACAAATAAATATCCAGTTGAAACTTTTAAAATCCCTCTAAAATCTCAAATAAATATCAAATAGATACTTAATCAACTTTTTAAAATTCTCCTAAAATCTCAAATAAATACTCCATGGACCTTTTAAAGAAAATCTATTAAGAGGTTAAAACATGATTAAATTAAATTAATATCATTTTAAATTTCTCAATGACTACGATAGACATAATTCCTTATTAAATTAATCCTCCATATAGTCTTATTATATTATAAAAATTATTAACATATTCAATAAATTCCAAATAATTATCCAATAAGCCTTTTAAAATATCTTTACACTTTCAAATAAATACCCAATAGATCTTTTTTTAAAGAAAATTTATTAAGGAAGTTAAAGGCTCATTAAATTAAATTAATATCCTTTTAAATTTCTTGGTGAACATAACAAATATAATCTTTATTAAATTATTTTTTCATATAATAAAACTTAATAAAACTCTAATTATATTAAATTTCTTACTATTTTTTCTCAAATTTGATTTTAATTACCATATCACAATCTAACTTCTACATGTACATAGTATTAAAGTTGAAACAACTTACCTAAATATATAATATGATTTTGATTTCAATTTATAATGTGTTTAGCCTAAATACACATTATATTGTAATCAAGCATATACAATCCAATGAAATAATGAATTATAATCTATTATTTTAGGATTAAGGGAGTCATAATTAGGACATTAATTAAAACACTATCTAATTCAACACACTGTATAGCACACTGTACAACACAAAGTATAACACATTTATTAAAAATAATTATTTTTTAGTTTAAAATTAAAGGCAAGTAAATTTAAAAATGTAACCATGCATATAAAATGCAAGAACCGATTAAATTAGCTATACTTATGTTATATTTTAATAACTAAATTAGACAATTGTCAAAAGGTGTGTTGAATTGAAGGATATACCAATTATTGTCTTAATAATTAAGATGTAAATAATTTTAAATAAATATATTTTTGAATAAAAATTACTAAAATTTCAAAAATTATGAATAATTACAAATTGTAATACATATAATCGATGTGTATCAACTTAGAAGACTAATTTAAAAAATACAAAAGAATTATATAAATGAACCATCTTAGTATAAGTAGGAAGTAAGCAAACGAACTTACAAGGAATCTAAAAATAAAAAGAGAGTCTTTGTGAGAAACTTAAAAATGCTTTAATATTTTCTTTCACAAAAGTCTAAACTATCAAAAAATTATAAAAAGGGTAAAATAAGAGCCCTTACTAGCTTCAAATATATTTATTAAGATAAAAAGTTAAACAATTCTAATCTATACAAAATGAAGGAGAGGGAGAGAGAGAGAGAGAGAAAGTGGGGTAAAAATATACAATAACAAAGACATTGATCGGCTTACTTTTTGATTCAATACACATCATAATATATTTATTAATAAATTATTATTTTAAAATTTGAATTTAAGGTGGGAAAAATTTTAAACTACAAAATTGAATGGTTTAATCAGTAGATGTTAGTAGGTGTGTTGAACCGGATGATGTCCTAATAATTTTCTTAATAACAAATATAGATGCAATTAGTGAATAAGAAAAAAATAATATTGAGGGTATAAGGATAGTGAGAGAAAAATTAATATATTTGATAGATAAAGATTTAAAAGAATGAGTAAGAAAGAATAATAAAAATGAGAGAATGAATAATAATGAATAAATTACTAATATAAAAAGGAAAATTGGGGAAAACTTATAATGTGGATATGTATATAAATTTATTGCATGTATTGGTAAATTATTTATGATTTTAAGATATTTATATGTTATTGTAATAATGACAAAAATATAAAATATTTACTAATAGATAGACAGGAAAATTGGGTAAAAAAATATAAAGATAAATGAAGAGGGGTGACTAAGGAAGAATAATAAAGAAGGGGATAAGGAGAGAAAAAATAATAATAAATAAATTATTAATATAAAAAGGAAAAGTGGTAGCAAATATAGTTTAAAATGATAAATATAATGAGAAAATGTGCAATGGTAAGTTAAGAGATCGTGTCATAAAAAAAAAAAGAAGTGGGTAAAGGTATGTAAATAAAAAAATATTAATGAAATAATGTTAAAAAGTTGTACTTTTTTATATTTGAACTTAAAACATGTTTAATATAAACATGCTTAATATAGATAAAGGGAGAGGAAGAAATGGAATAAAAGTATATTTAGAATGATTGATAGAAGTGCAAGAAGTAACTAAAAAATAATAGTATAGTGGAAGGATAATGTGAAAAAGAATAATAACAAATAAATTATTAATATACGGGGATGGTTAGCTAATGGGTTGAAACTAAATGTAGGGGAAGGAGTTGTGGTTAAATTCTGGTGG